ATATATCAATTTCCATATATTCTCAAATCATCAGTATAGCATCATGTAGTTTGGAGTTTATTGTTTTCGAATTCGATTGCTATATGATGATTATTTTCACCTCATATCTTCCATCTATGAAGCAATGAAGAACGATATTCAAATTATTTCGTTTCATTATAAACCACTCTATCGCAGTACTTTCATTATGCATCGAAAATAAAAATGTCGTAAATAATTGTATTTGTTTCAAGCATGATAATATACTCAATTTATATATTTATCCGAAATCTCACAGGCAAAGACGAGCTTGAAGATTGGTTCAAACCAGTTCAAAAATTCAGTATCATCATCGATAGGTCGACCCGGGCTCAATGTGTATTGCTGGCTAGCTCGAGAGTTACCTTTCTTCTTCGATACACATCAATTGAGATTAAGATGTAAAAGCATACAGACAATTAAAGATGAAGCTAAACGAATAAGATAATAACAGAGTGCTGCTACCCAAGGCATTATTTTGCAGTATAAAAAACGATCGACGCCCCTGCAAATCTTGACACTACCTTGTGGAGCCTGCATCGAGCAATCTATAATAAAGATAAAAACAAAAAAAATCTACGGTGGTATTGCCCCTTGGACTGTGCAACGTAATAATTACTTTACAACTCCATTGGCTTTTTGCTGATGGCTACGTCTGATTCACCACTTGAAACAGGATAGTTACTTATTTATTGATGCGACTTGTTCTCAGTTTCTTGGATATTCTTTTTATTGTGAACTTCCACAATGGAGATATATCCTGAATATTGAAATACCAAATTTCAACGACTAAAAATTTTTGTGTTGACTCAAAAGTTTATACTCGATATGGAAATCCATGCGGTTATATCACTTGAAGAAGCTACAGATATCGAACCATGTATTATCCAGAATGCTGTGGAATTCTCATCGTTCGTGATGTTTTTTACATTTATGACGCATTGATTCTCACACTAAGAAGAGAATCATCTTGAATTGTCTATATTTCTTCAGTTTTATTAGACATCGTTGAAGGAATATATTTTTAAGTAAGTTCGTACATGACGCTGTGAAAAAAAAATTATACTTACACATGGTATATGGAACAGAGCGCAAAATAACTTCGCTGAGCGTTTTCCATAATATGCTGTGACATTTTCAACTAGACAAAGATTTGCTGAATAATAGAGATATTAGTTCATTCTTACTCATACTATCTGGTAATTCTTCGTAGCATTCAGTGAATCACCCTGAACATAACAACGAATATTCTATATGGTGACCTCATTATTACCTACCCATTATTGAGATTCCAGCCTTTCCTTCACTATTCCAATTTTCGAACATAGTTTATTGTCGAATTGATAGGAAATATTCAATGTAATCAATTAGAATTATAAAAATAATCTATATAGGCGTACATAAAGTACATTGTTTGTTATATAAACTCATAATATGGACGATCCCAATAAATCGATGGTAACGATATCATCCGATAATATAGACAGCAAGTGGTGCTGCCTCCATAGAAAACATGCCTATAGAGAGGTCCGCAATGAAGACACACACAACGACAAGACAGCTGTCAACTGTCAAAATGTGAAGATTAACACAAATAGGGATGGTGTCTCATTTAAAACCATATTTTAGTTGGTTTCTGAGACTCGGTATCGTTTCAGGTGAACTTCATGAAATATATAATATATGGTAGGTATACAAAATATCATCTCGTAAGTTACCCTGGGGATATGGAATAGTAATCACCTGTTTTGTCCTTTCGTTTGAAAGAAATATATGCATCTATCCGAGCATCCTTCCCACTAATCTAGGAAAAAGCTGTATTTGGCTGTATACATTTTTATCATGAATTTATACAACATCTATATATAATGAGTGAATTTGCCGATTATTTTAGTTGTTAAGAAGATCTCGGGTTGAATGATTGGACCACTAGAGAAATACAATGGGCATGACTATACTGAAAGTTGAATGGCCGATAAGAAAGTTCATGTGGAAAAATGATATCAAATATTTTTAGTTATAGATATAATTCCCAAAGAGATGCGTGTTATGTGTTATTCATAATTATCAATATAGTATAATTGGTGTTGTTTCATCACCTATATGTCTGAATAGAATAGTACTTAATGTATGTATTGAATTGGAATTTCAATAAGGAGATTATTGAACTGCTCTGCATCAGGTGTTAAACGAGGTGATTGACATCTAATGGAATCTCGAACAAATTTTCCGAGTAACTATTCCTATTAGAGGTGATCAAAAGTATTCTATGTATTTTTCTCATCTCTTGGAGCGCACAAGAGGAAATTCCTATAATGTTCGTGGAACATCGTGCGTACTAAGTACTAAGGAAGGAGGTTATGAGTTCTTGGGAAAGCGTGAGCGTTTGGATGCTGAACCCCATACAAGAGAACAGTATTCTAAAACTGGCCGTATCTGTGCTTTGTAGATCATGAGAAGCTGTTAAGGTGTGGAGTAGATTTTCGCACGGAACAAGAATCCGAGTTTTTGTGAAGCAGCTTTTGCGATGGATCGGGCATAAGAGAGTATTGCTGATGGTGTAATACAGAGCATAGTTATGATGGTCTTGGATGGAATGGTGGTACCCGACATTGTTGAATCAGACATACTGAGTTCCACATTTCTAGAGGAAATACAGGTCTGAGTTCTGGTGGCGTTGAATGAAACTGAGTTGATGGAACCCCCGGCAGAAATTTCCGCAAGATCTGCATTGACAGCGTTGGCCTGCCTTCGGCTTAAGTTTGTAGTTTATTGTAAAAAATGGGAATTCTAGAAGGGAACGTAAAATGGATATTATTATCGTCTGCAAAGCTTTGGATAGGGCAAGTGGTTTCTCTCAATAGATCGTTGATTTGGAAGAGGGACAGAGTTGGTTCCAAAATTGGTCCTTGTGGAACGCCGGAATTGATGGCAATGGTATATCGAACGATACCCCGTCCACCACCACATGGCCTGAGAGAAAACTCGATAAAAGATGACATAGCTGTGGTCGTAAGCCGTATGATGGTAGTTTTTGAAGCAGTCACTTTGGTGCCAAACACGGTCGAATGCTTTCGATATATCTAACGCTACAGATTCCCCATATTTTTTTAGTGTTGCTTGCCATATATAGGTGACATAGGCAGGTAAATTCCAAGTTGATCTTCGATGGCGAAAGCCATTTTGTCTATCAATAATGATTTCTGAGCTTCAAATCTATTCGATGAGCTCAATGTTGGCCTACCTATAGTTGTTGGGATGCTCTTGTTTTCTATTTTGGGGGATTGGCTGGACTCTAGCTTATAGTGATTATTACACGAGAATACGAGATAAGTCACAATACAGGCCGAAGGTAAGTGTCGTAAACAGTGTGGGAGTGAATTCTCCCTCAGTATTTATCTCTCGATTTATCTCGATATTTAATGAAAATTAGTGGAGAATTGTGGTGACCCAAGGGGGATTGTGAGAATTCTAGGAGCCTTTTTAGATTTTCAGAAGGTATATTGGAAATCAATATGAAGATTAGAAATGAGTGCACAAAATCAACATTTATGTCCATCGAATGATAACAATTACATGATTGTTGCATACAACAAACCGTTGGAATTGACTGAAAGTCACTATAGTAGTCATTGAAAGTAATTGAAATTCACTGAGAGTCTTCAGTAGTCATTGATCAGATGTCTTCAAAAGTCATTGGAAGTTTCTTGAAGTTTTTGTTATTCACTGGAAATATTTGTTCATTGGAAGTCTACTACACAAATTATCCGCGGAGAATTACCCCTCGTTCCCTAAAGCATGTGACTTTCATCTGTCAGTCAGTCATGAAAGAATATACCAACTGGAAGGAGTGGGAGGTGGTCATAAATCACTTTTCAATCAATGATCTCATGAAAAAACTTCAATAAGTATTGACATAATTTTCAACCTGTTATTTCACCAATCATTCAGTAAATTACGGTGAATTACTTATTGGTTGAATACTATGTAGGATTGTTGGTCTTATGGAGTCCGCCACGCGGTATATAATATGTGGATGGATATAATTACGTTATGATATAGGTGATAGCAGGAATAGTCATAATGACCGGCAGTTATTATTTACTCCTTACTATCGGAATATCGAATTTGTTCTTGAACTAATAGATTTTTCAAAAGTATAAGAAATATATTGAAGCGTGTTCATTATATATTCTGCATATTCCTCGGGATAATTATATACTTATAACGAAGACAGGATCTAATTTATCGATTATTCAACAAATTGCTCGTGTCACTTATTATATTCGATAAAGGAGTCACCTATTCACGTGGTTATTCACAAGGGGTCAACCACTACATCCAATATGTGTACACCTCGGTGTACACTTGATGTCCAATCCCAATGTAATCCGCCCAATCCGAGGTCCTTTCTTAGACCAATATTTCTATTCTCGCAATGCAGATGTCTAATCTCGTATTCATAATATTCGATAATATCTGATGATATCGGTCCAATCCTACGTCAGATTCTTCTAATCTGTGAACGTTTTTGAGAGAGTGGATTACCTCTTGGTTATTTATCAATGAGATTTTGTCAGTAGGTATATATAGGCGGTGTATTAGGTTCTATTGTAACTCCAGTTATCATTCCTATAACGAGGATTATGCGAGAAAGATTACATCACATGAATTAACATGGATAATCTATACTAGTTTCAAAATCAAATAATAAGTGCATCGAATTTTGAATACATATCAATTAATAATTATTATAGCGTCGTGCCATTCAAATAAGTAAGTATTTATTATGAGAATTGTGGAGAATGCGAGCAAACTATGTTTCGAATCAGGCATATCACAGATATTGAGTTTTATTTTTTCCTTCTCGATAAATATTTCGTCTTCATCAGCATGCATAAGTACTGAACTTTATAGGTTTGATATAGATGGTTCACTTGTACTCTCAACAGTTTTTTTAAATCCCAAGGTAGGTATGATTATCAGTTATCTGTCCAGACTTCCAGATTATTACTCAATAGTGCAGGCCATAAATCTAATTCAGCGGCGGCGTCGTGTTTCATTCTACGGTTCCTACCTACATTAATATTTAAAGCAGAAAAAGAGTGAAGTGGTCGGTTTTGATCTTAGGACCTATATACAGGTCGAGCCCACCGCTTGATTTATTGCTTTCTAGCAACCGAACCGGCCCTATACCCTAATGACACGAAGTTTTGATATATATCGTATCAAGTAGGAGACTTGGCATATTCAGTATGTTTATTGCTGTATAAAACTATTCCACAAACAAGCCAAATTTGATTGATGATCTTAAATTAATTGGGAAGTCCATTAATGAAAAGTTTATAATGGATAAAAGAATTAATGTAATTCAGTATATTATTAGGAATGTAGAAAGACTATATATAGTTGAATCACGCAATTTAATTAATATCTCGTAAAGTTGTGCTAAACTATCCCTTTTATATCCTCGCATGAAAAACTAGGCATGTATCAATTATCCTCTAGTCAGGTATTCATTATTTTGATTAATGGTCTTATAATAACATTTCCCTGCTACACAGTTTTCGAAATGATTTGTCTTGTATAAACGGTTAGGTGTCATACTTTTCGTCGAGGAAACATGTTATAATAATGAGTTATTTTTGTACTCACTTTGTCCAAGGTGAACCCTTTTCATCCATGGATAAATTTGTGGGGGATTAGACGAACTGCCCTTGGAACTATTGTTATTCGAACCAGATTTTTCATTGCTGGAAGTCGAGCTTGTGCTTGAAGCAGGCGAGGACAGATTCTGCGAAGCTGTAGAAGATCCTGTAGCTTGTTTTCCAGGCGGAGAAGTACTAACTGACAAAGGTGAAGTCAACCCGGAACTCTTCGACGTTATTGTAGAATTGGCATTATTGTTCGGTGGATTGCTAGCAAGTGGTGGTGTTGATCTATTTGGTGGTCCGCTTGTACTCAAATCTTGCGGTGAGGCAACACCAGTCGAAGAAGTAGAGTCTGCATACTTACAACTAGGTGTTGTATTCAGCATACCTGGACTTTGTCCACCAGAACTCGCATGGTGCTGCATATGCGAACTGCTACCTCCAGGTATTCTTTGCGGTTGGAGTTGAGTGTAGTCTCCCATGGGCTGCAGACTGTGTCCAGTGGCAGGAGCTGCATAAGGATGTTGCGGGTATTGCGGACCCACTTGTGGAGGTGAGTAACAAGCTGGTGGATAGCCAGAAGTTGCTGCATTGTTAGGATTATAATAATCCCCACCAGGACTAGCACTTTGATGAGCCTGTTCACTTCCAGGTCTTCCTTGTTGTTGTCCATAGCACTGCGCCAAAGAGTTAACGAATTGATATGAACTCATGTTCATTGGATCTTTCAACTATTCAAAGTGGAACAATAAATTACATAGCGAACAGATACGGGTCCACAAAAGAACAGTCAGAATAAAGTCATAAATTTTTCTGGGCACTAATAGACCAATAAACACAACACTAAACGCTGGCACGTGGTTAAGGATTATAAAACTGTCATCAGAAGTTTACGATCCTAGTTCAGGTACCAATGGGAAACATCGCGAGTATCGTTCGGAGAACGGGTTAAGCAGGCCTTGCTGCGGACCGACTCACGTGGGGACTTATTTGATAGTGAGTGTCATTCGCGACAAGACGTTCGCTTAGCGGCGCCTCGACTGGGCAATACCACACGTTGATTGGGTTTAGTATACGAGGATGCGATACTGACAAACAGTTGAACGCGCGGGGCGTAGGAGAGCCAGCAGAATGAGATAGTCTGCAACTGTTGCCTGACAGAGTGAGAAAACACTGTTAGAGGGGATAAGTTAGTGTCAGCATGTACTGCGAAGAGTATACGGCGTGTTAGAAGTTTGCCGGCGCAGGCTTGGGGTGGAGTTTCGGAGGGGAAAGGGGCGTGACTCACAAATTCAAATTGATAATTTGTGAATTGTTTAAGATTTGATGCTCAGCTGAGCGGTATGTGTATATTGTATTCCAGTAGCAGGACTAATGAATCGCCTAAAGCATGAGGTAACACGGACGCAGGTAGGGTGGATGCAGTGGATGATTTTTTGAAAAGCTATATTGTAAATCCTACTCCACGTCTCTCTTTACGTTTACACAAAGTTGGCAATAGGTACTCATATATATTATTTTGATATGAACCTGAATGTTTTTCGTTAAAATGATGTAGATATATGATTTAGTTCTAATCTTCTCCGTTTGTTGGTGATAAAACAGTGTACCTATAGTGTGATATAAATAAGTTGGTGAGTACATAAGTGTCCACTATACCTCTACCTATTTATCTATACTTGACTAAGTACTTGAAAGACAATTGGCTACATAATCTTTCACAAAATCAACTCAAAGCTTTTAGTATAATTTGAGTCGATTCATTTTTTGTGTAACCAACCAACAATTCAAAATCGGTTAAAAGGATGCATGAAAGGACTACCGTAAAACGAGGCTTCTTCGATACGTTTTTAGGACATTTTTCAATAAAACGTCGTCATTTATCAACTCAATGTTGTGAAATACAAATTGGATTTAAACCAATCTGGCCTGCTCAATCGATAGCTGCACTTCAAATTGCTTCAAAAACAATATAGAAAAATGTACGAAAATGGCTATTGCGAAGTTACCTCGCGTTTGGGGCTACTTTGACAAAAATTTCAATTTCGATATAGAATACATGTTGAAGCGTCTCAGTGTCAAAGAAACCCTGGTAATGGACGCACAAATAAAAACAATTCATAAAATTAGTCGTTTTTTTTGGTCAAACAGCTTTTTTTGTTTAAAAACGTTTATTCATGGCACTTTATACCTACTGGTCATCACAAAAATAAAACGGTTTAATCATAAGAAAGTTTCGAAATCAAACAGGAAACTGAAGGATACATCCTGATCTACGTTTAAAAGACATTTCGACGCCAAAAACAGTAACAGAGAAATTCTTTGGTATGTAGGAACTGAAGGTCAATAAAAAAAACGAAGAAAATATTTCTTGATTTGAAAACTCTATTACCTTTTGACATAGTTAAACATACCAAATCGAAAGTTGATTTCAACTCTTCCAATTCTCGATCTCTTTCGGTCTCAGGGTTGAAGGTTCCATCCTCATCGCTGATATCGGCAAATGGTTCCTCTGGTTCGCCATCTGAGTCTCTGCAAACTAACCACACATAGAATGGACCAGTGCTTCCTAAATTACAAAGTTCGCAAATCCACTACTTGCATTGAACACATGCAATCCAGTCGGTCCTTTCCTCGGTCCTTCCTCTATTGTTTTTAAACAGCATGATGCGGTATTTGGCACATTTTGAATTCAAATCGCTCTTGGTACCTACCCCTGAAACTTGCTTTTGTTATACTTACTACTAGCAGGACGCACTTTATAGTTGTCTTGGCATTGCCTGTGACCTTTTTTGCTGGTATTCCGATGACGGTCGTTTGAAAAACTCTACCCAGTGATGATGAATCAAAAACCAGTTCAGTATATTCCAAGTTTTCAGGCAATCCTCCAGAAATCTTCCTCAGTATTTCTTCAATATTCATTGAGAACAGTCCTGTGGTACTGAATCCTGATTTTGGATTCATCCCTACAGTGTCTTGAACTCTATTCCACAGAAAGGAAATTGAGGCCAGGAAGTTTTCTTTGGGTAGAGTCCCAGTATATCAGCTCTCCTTTCGCCACTTTTCTAATATTTCGCGAAGCAAATACAGCCACATCTACTAGTTGCATCAAATATGTGGCGTCGGCTGTAGAAGGGCTTCTTTTATAATTTGTGGTGTCGAATGTTCAGGCCAGGTTATCGTCAACTACAACTGCTTTTATGTTTCTAGTTTCTTGATTGCTATCATGTGGGGCAAAAGGAATTCAGAAAACCATTGCTCCTCAAGTTCGTGACGAACCATCCAGAATGGCTGTTTCCATAAACAGTACCATCAGGGGGTCCTCCAGAATACCAGTTTTCATATAAATTGGAGCTTATAGGTACACTATTGGAGAGAGGAGATCTCCAGCTGCATTACCACATACCATACCAGTTTTCATATGAATTGGAGCTTATAGGTACACTATTGGAGAGAGGAGATCTCCAGCTGCATTACCACATACCATTATGCTCACACAGGACCGATAATAATTCTGTAGGTACTCGTTCTACCCTATACGGAAGTTTCTGGGAACAATAACTTCCTTCGTACCAGGATCATCAGCGATATTTGTTCCGTCGTAATTGAATGAATTTTCATTATCAACATAGATGCCTCCATTATGTTGTCAAAAAACTATGAACAGAGAACGCTCTACAATTAATGAAGGAATTACAAAAAATTGGCAAATTAGTTATACTGACCCGAAACAAAAAATTAGTAATGGCATATTTCAAATACTAATTCAATGAATATACGATTTCCATTTAGAGAGTTTCATGCGACATCTGGATAATGTGCAATATCTGTCGTGGGCTGGAAATAAGACTATGAGGAACCTTAGTGAATATAGATGTTGAAGAGCGCGGCAGATTGTTTTGAGTCCTTCATTTTATCGTCGTATAGGAAAGAGTATCCTGATGTATGTACAGTCCCTCAGAGCGAATACACGTACAAAGACCTCAACAAGTTTTCGGACTTCATTCAGCTGGATTTGTTTCTGAATATCCACAACATCTCACAAGAATCAAAGGAGATCGATCAAATTCTAAGTTGAATAAATACCCATCAAAACTTCGAATTTCATTCAAAAATATGATTGAATAGTCGAGACTTCCTGCCAATTTTACCAACATATCTACTATTTGACGATCTTTTATTCGGAATGTTACCCTGGATTTTTTTCATATTGATCCGTCGTATAGATTTCATAAATCGATTGAAATTGTGTCTCACGACCATGACCCTAGGATCTGTATAGTAATACCTAGGAGTATAGGCCTTTCACAATAATTTGTGATATAGATACATACCATCCCATCAAAATAATTGGACTCCCATTCTTTCTTTAGAGATGAAAATACTCGTGAAAATACGTATATAAATTCATATCACATTCATAGTGTCTTGACTGGATAACTTAACTCAGCAGAAATGAATATCTTGACGGATTGTGTCGTATATGGGTATACATATACTGAACATTTATTCATATTGGTACTATGAAAAGATGGGAACTCCGGAGAAGAAAAAATAATACACTATGCTTCTCCTCATATTGGTACTATGAAAAAATGGGAACTCAGGAGAAGAAAAAAGAATACACTATGCTTCTCCTCATTCTCCATAGTGTTACCTTTACATGCCTGTGCATTTGTACGCTATATAAGATTATTAACGGTTAATGTTTCCTGGTATGTTGTTTCAGAGTCTTCTTGAGAAGTAGGAAGTGTTATTTTTCAGATGTTGAATGGGGTATTATTTCTCTTCAAATCGCTTGTTCTACGTAATCACGAGGATACTCACTGTGGGGCTCATGTTCGCAGCTTTTGCCTGCCATCGGTTGAATCTCCAAAAAATTCCCTTCTTTCAACTCTTCTTGCATTCTTATCGCGAAGTCAGACATGGCATTGCTTATCGCGAAAGGAAGCAAATATTCCAAAACTTCAATACGTAATTGATAGAGCGATGATTAAACAATCGGATGATTAAAGTTCTGGATACATGCGGGTTGTGTATTTTGACTTTCAAAATGGAAATGATCATATATTCTGCCACCACAAAACATTACAACATATATTTTTCAGATAAATCATCCCCATATGCAGTGGGAATACAAGAGTCTACTGACAAATTTCTGAAACCTATATTTTTGAGAGTTTTTTCAGAAACTGCAAACGCAACATTGCGCAGTTTGCTCCAACCTATGCCTACAAAGATTCATTTATTTGCAAACTTGATTTGGCTTGCTTCCAACTCCTCCAGAAATCTTCATCTTCCCAATTCCATATATACGTTCCTATATATATAAGTTATGGAATTTCTAAGAGAGGTTTGGAAAAAACGGGCATATTGAGATGATTTAATGCTGGACCCACGTTATAACGTGGAAAAATTTTCTCGTACTGACATTTTTCCATCAGAGCTTTTCAAGAAGAAAATACGTCGGTGAATCAAACACCCTTTATTTACTGCATCATATACCTTTCAATTTATAAGTATTATAGTGCTGCTCCTTAATTGAACATTCAGTAAGCATGCCAGATATCTACAGACCATTTCAGCTACGGAGTGTTCCAGTTGAAAAGCGGTTCCCCAAAGTTAGACTAACTATTTGGGAGCATAGGAATCGCTTGAATGCAGAGTGAGCGAAACGTTTTTTGATGTGTTTGAACTCTTGGTTCAGGTGTTCATTGAAAAATATTATAGAAGATATGAAGGAGAAACCCCACGAAAAACCAATGTGTTTCCAGAATGTTGGATATCAGCCATTGAATGCTTGACCTTTATTGTTTACGATTTATTATAACTCTTTCTAATAATTAACAAACTAAAAATACGTGATATCAATACTATTTTTCGACATTTATATGACACTACTACCATGACATTTTTTCCCACTTGACTTTTGCCAGTTATACAATGTCCTCGATCTCGGTATGGCGAATGCATACACCACACTCCTCCCTCCTAGATTGATGAGTAATCCTCCAGATATCTTGGAGGACGTCTTTCTCTTGTAGGTCTAGGTGGAATGACTTCGGCTGTACTTGATGTGGGAAATCGTTCGCCGTCCTCGTGCTCCTCAGGCGGATTTTCTTTTTCAGCAGATATGTTTAACGGCTCGTCCTGATCGGTAATTTCTTCGGGGTTGCTCCGCGATCGAATTTGGTCTGTATGTCGACGGATTGTACGACCATCTGGTGTTTCAATGGCATAGCTCAATGGACCTGTGGGTTGTATTATTCTAGAAGGTATCCATTTCTGTCCAGGTGTGTATGATCTAGAATAAACTAAATCATCTGTATCGAAACTTCTTGGACATGGCATATTTTCTGATTTTTTCTCCTGCTTGGACTTCATCTCTTTGGTGAAATCTGGCTTAACTTTATCCAGTAGTGTATAAAGTTTTCTACCCATCAGTATTTCAGCAGGCGATTTCCCTGTTGAAGCATGGGGTGTAATATGCTGAGTCAATAAATACCTGGATAATGTTGTTGGTGTGTCAATGTCTGACATTTTCTTAAGTGCTGCCTTAACATTCTGCACCATCCTTTCGGCTTGACCGTTACTACTCGGATGGTATGGTGCTACCAAAGCTTGTCTGATTCCATTAGCTGCTAAAAATTCTTGGAATTCTTTCGATGTAAATGCTGTACCATTATCACTTACTAGAACTTCGGGAAGTCCATGAGTTGCAAAGAGTTCTCGTAACACTTTCATAGTAGCATCCGTTGATGGACCACTTACCATTCGTACTTCTAGCCACTTCGAAAATGAATCTATCACAACTAGGAAGTATTTTCCATGTAATGGTCCAGCAAAATCTATATGTAATCGAACCCATGGTGCTCGTGACCATTCCCATGGATGTGTTGGAGCTTTGGCTGGCATGTGACGTTGTTCTTGACAGGTTGGGCAAGTACTTACCACTTCTTCTACTTGCTTGTCCAGATTTGGCCACCAGACATATGACCTCGCCAATGCTTTCATTTTCACCATGCCTGGATGTGATGCATGAAGAATATCCAGGATCCGCTTCCTCCCTCCTGGTGGTATGATTACCCTTGTTCCCCAAAGGAGACAATCTTGGTAACACGAAATTTCTGTTTTTCTTTGTAGAAATGGTTGAAACTCAGGGGAGAATAGCTTGTTATCCGTTGGCCATCCATTCCAAGCCCATTGTAGGATGATTGATAAGATCTGGTCTTTAGCTGTTTCTTGTGCTATTTCCTTAGCAGAAAGGATTTTCTCTGGAATATGCTCCAGCATTAGTACTTCCGCAACAGGCGGCGCTTCTTCAACTTCTGTTTTCAAGGGCAATCTGCTCAGGGCATCTGCGTTACCAATCTTTTTCCCAGGAGTATACAGTAGATTATAGTTGTAGGCGTTTAGTGTTATGGCCCAGCGTAGCATTCGTGGAGAAATCACCTCTGGGGTTGCTTTATTTTTTCCAAATATTCCGAGCAATGGTTTATGATCTGTGCGTAGCTCGAAAGATGATCGACCATATACGTAATCATGGAATTTTTTTACTCCCACGATCAATGCCAAAGCCTCCCGATCGATCTGTGCAAAATTTCTTTCAGAACTGGAAAGAGTTCTACTGTGATACGCCACTGGAATTTCGGTACCTGTCTCTGTGAGTTGGCTCAACACACAACCAACGCCATATGGACTGGCGTCACAAGTTAATATCAATGGTTTCATCTCATCAAAATGTCCCAATATTGGTTCACAAGATAACATATCTTTAATTCTGTTGAATGAGTTCTGTTGATCCTGATTCCAGTGCCAAGGAATATCCTTGTGTAACAGCTTGTGAAGCGGTTCGGCAATTGTTGCTTTGTCCTGCAGAAATACATGATAAAAATTGATAAGGCCTAAAAAAGCCTGTAGCTCTGTTCTGTTAGCTGGCGCAGGTGCGTTTCGGATAGCTAAAA